AAGGATAGCACAAAGGCCTCTGATAAAGTAGTTTCGAATGCAGAATTCCACTGGGAATTCCATTAAATGCAATGGAAGCAAACAGAAGATGGGTGAAAATCCCATTGTAAAAAATAAATGAAATGTATGTTAACACACTGATTTTTTCAGAGGCGACACTCAATACAAGGTGAGACATAATTGTAACAAAGAGGATACTGCAACAAAATGTTGCAGTGTAGCTCACCTTCTGTTCAGGATTCCAGCTAGTCCACTACACACACACACACACACACACACACACACACACACACTGCTGCTAGCATTCTTTGACCACTAATCACTCTCAGTCCTCCTCCTCCTCCTCCTTCTTTATTGAGTTTATCTACCGTTCTAATCCCCTCAGGTCTCCATTTTGTTTTTTTGTGGTGTGAGGTAGACACACTGGCACCCCAGCAACATTAAATACTGGATTTCTCCATCAATTTCTACAGGCAGCTTTCACATTTTACAATGGCTTCTGAGAGGGAACCAGGAAATGTCCATTCTAGCCAATGAGTTGGCCCTGTCTGCTTTTTTAAAAACTTCTATGTGCCTCTTCCTCCTTTTTCAGCCACTCCATTCTCCTTCTCATACAGTTTTCACCCTCCCTCCCTGCAAGTCAGACAGCATTCTATGGCCACTAGACAAGGTTGGCATCCATCTGTCTCGGGAAACATGGATGAGTGTGCCTTTGGGGGTGAAGTCAAACTGTTGGAAGGTTACACTGCCTGCTGTGACATGCTCAGTCCACATTGGGCTTTTAGCTGGGAGCAGGGAGAGGGTGCTACCCATCCCTCCCATAGGTGTTGTTTTTACTAAGTTTTTTTTTGGGGGGGTGGTATTTCTTGCAAGTCCCCAACCTGCTAACATCTCCCTCTTAAATAAAGATTGCTAGCTACCTAAGGAGACCTTCTTCCCTTGTTCTTTAAAAAATAGTATCTCCATATTGCAAGAGAACCACATAATTTTTAATGGAAAAGGAACACTTTAAAAAAACAACAACCAAAAACACAAAAACAAATTGTTAATTCTGCTAACACATATTTTTGAAAACAAGCATTGGGACTTCTTTCACAAGGTGAGAAACCTATTTACAAACAAATGAACGTAGATACTCACCTAGGATTAGTGAATTGCTAAAGCCCTAAAGCAGGGGTCGGCAAAGTTTACCTTGCCTGGGCTGGTTCACTCCAGTGGAGATCCCTTCGTGGGCTGGATCGTGCGCGTGCCTGCGATTTCCGGTATCTGCGTTTGTGCAGACACGATTTTCAGTGTCTGCGCAGACGCGATTTCCAGCGCCACAAAAGTGAGTCCCTGCGCAGTGTCGGTATAGCGCAGTGCGTACGGACTCGCCAAGGGGGCTGCTCGTGGGCTGGTTAAACAACGCCCATGGGCCACTTGTGGCCCATGGGCTTTAGGTTGCTAACCCTTGCCCTAAAGCAAGCAAAGCACCCTCAGGATATAACTACATTTTCAGACCTGACATGCATTAATTTCATTGGAATAGTTTAAAGGCCAGTATTTTAAATCCTATGGCTGGGCCTGGGATCCAAAAGAACAGGCAACTATTCCACATGTTAAGAAGGAATTTGGGCTTCCACTTCAAATAGCCAATATACACAACAGAAAATTCTCCTCCCCCTTCAGAATGACTGATTTTATTCATAATCAGACCTATTTAAAACTCATTATGATTAATCAACTAAGATTTATTTAACTGGTTTGCAACCCTGATTTCAAACCTAAACCCACTTTACTCTTCTTTTTAGCCAAGCTTACAGTGGCATGCTTCTATTTCCATAGCTTCAACATTGACATAATGCAAAAGACAGTGACTTGATGTGAGTAGGATACTCAAGAAATTATTTCTAGCTGGAGTGTTGGATATAATATCAGAACGAGTATTTGACTTTGTTTTTGTTTTAGTAGGGTTTTAGTAGGTAGCATGTATATATAGACATTCAACCATCCTGCTAAAGTATATATAGCTTGCTTGCAATTATCATTAGCTAGTGTATTGCATATTTTTCAATGAGCTGTAAAACTGTGAGAATGATCTAAGTCTTTCTTTGAGGGCAAAAAAATGTGACCATTGTAAAAAAAAAAAAAACCTGCAGAAGGAAACTAACAAAAAAAATATTCAAAACATAAAATGGTTATTAAGAATACTAAAATGTGGATTTAAAAGGCAATTCTTAGGAAGCCTGTGTTTAATTGCTACAGAGATATTTTGAAAAATGTATTTATGGATCATACACATGATTATAAGTGGGAACAGAAGAACATTATTTTATTACTAAATAAAACAAATATATAAGCAGTGACCACTTATGTCTTTAAGAAGGATACACTTTGAATGTCCTTAGTAGGGCACATTGGTGGCTCAAAACACATTAGAGGAAGTCAGGCTGATGGCACTGGTACAGTCAACAGGTGACAAACACTCGCCCACTGTGTTCATACAGGAAACTCCCAGATCTAATTCAGAGGTGCATAAGCAGTAGGGGAAAGCAGCTGAGTCCTGGCACTAGCCCATCACAGAGACATTAGGAGGGAATAGGTAGTCCTGACAAGGCCAAAGAACATACCTTGTGCTTAGGGAACTCATGTTTGGGCTAGGTCTCACTAGCTCTGTGATAGCAACCAATCTGACATGCAGCAGGGTACATAGTAGCGCACTGCGCAAAGCTCAATATAGGAATATAGGAACCTGCTTTAACCCAGTTTAGATTATTTGTCAATGTAATATAGATGAAGAAACTGAATCACAGAACCATAGAATTATAGAGTTGGAAGGGGCTCTGAGGGTCATCTAGTCCAACCCCCAGGCAATGCAGGAATAAGCATGTTGTGCCTTATGGGGATCAGACCTGCTGTGGCCCTCCAAATGTTGCTGGACTACAACACCTATCATCCATGAGCACTGGCCATGCTGGTGGGGAGACTACACTGGCTGAGTTGGAGTCCAACAACATCTGGAGAGCCACTGGTTCCCCAGCTTTCATTTTTTTAAAAATGAAAGAAAAACCACAAATTTTCCTCCTGTGGTTTTGCTCTTTTCTCCAATGCATCAGCTTCCTTTTCACATCTCTGTGACCAAGTCAACCCACAATGGTAGAAGAAACAGTTGCCACACAGACAAAAAAATAAATGTTGGGTTGCGGCTTGTAACAAGAAATGGCATGAGCTAGAAGACGGCCACTTTCTGAACATATGAGCTGTACCCACAGTAACATATGTGTACTTCTGTGCAGTAACGTGTTGTAAAAAGTACATATTAAAAACGGACATTTGTTTGTAACGTTCAGTGATAAACATGTATTGGATGCAAAAAGCCAAGGTTCAGTTACTGGTATCTGGCAACCATGCCACAACATCAAGGATATTTTCTTCCTTCTGCTACATGGATGAGGAATATCTTGCTATTACTGCAAGTGAAAAGGGACTATGTGAATATCGTACTAAGATGAGTTGTGCAGAATGTTGCTTGTTCTTGGCATTCATCTGTCTTGGGAGGCAATGGAGGAGTGCGTCTTCAGGGGTGAAGTCAAACTGTTGGGAGAGTTACAGCACCTGTTGTGGCTGTACAGACCAATATGAGAGACATGTTTTGTTGCAGCTGGGACAGATGAAGGCATCTGGTTGTGTTGTTGCAGATGCACCATGGCATTTCTTCTCTCTTTGCTCCTCCCAGCAGTCATTCCTACTCTGGTCACTGCTGGATACACAACCAGACTGACTGTCTCCAGGCACTATCGTCTGCAAGGTGCTAATGCTGCTAGCCTTCATGTGACACTTGCAGACATCTTTGTAACACAGAGTTACTGGTGCTTGAAGCCATCTCCCTGCAGAGCACATCCTTGGGGATCCTTCCATCTTCCATTCTGTGGACATGACCAAGCCAGCATAGACACTGCTGAGACAGAACATGCTGGGAATGTGGGCTTGGGAGAGCACATCCTTGTTTGAAACTCTGTCTTGCCTTGTGATGCCCAAAATCTTCCTGACACAGTGCATATGGAAGGCTTTTAGGCATCACTCCTGGTGGGTATAAGTTGCCCACAACTCACTTCCATACACCAGCATGCTCAACATGCAAGCCTGGTAGACCTTCGTCTTGATATTGGAAGTTAGCCTCACATTCTCCCAAACTCCCTGGTGGTACACTTAGTTCAGGTCCACCCATGATTGGTCTCATACATACAATATGTGGATAAGTGTATCCAGCAGCAGCAGACATTCTGATTTTGCTACACACCTCAGAGCTTTTATCCCTTGTAGAGACAGATAAACCTCTTTTCTTTGGACTTGGTTGGCATCCATCTGTCTCGAGAGACAATTATTATGTTTTTATTCTGCCCTTCAATCATATTCCCTGCACATTTCACAACAGGAGAAAACAATTGACATTGAACAAAGCAAATGTAAGAACAGCATTTGAACATTTTATTCGAGTTTTGTCAACTGCTTTGTTCAACAAACTAACATTACTTTTTTAATATCTCTGCTTCTTGTCTTGGAATCCTCGGGGTAATGGATTAATTCCAGTTCATATTGTTAGTGTTTTCAGAAAGATAGAGAAAACCCACTCCATTTAACCTCTTCTGCTCTTCCTTTGGAACTTTCCTCTTGCTCCACTGTTTCTCCTTCTACCTGGGGCTCCAGCTTTCAATTTAAGCAGTGGCAGCAGACACAGACTGTGCAGAAACCTAATCTTCCTTATATCTCTCTGCCTTAAAAAAGCCATTTGTTTTCCTTACAGGTAGAAGCAACTGTGCACAGCTCCCAAATCATGAAAGGAAACTCACCAAAACCATACTTATGGCTTATCAGAATGATAATGAGAATAAACTACAGAGTTGGACCCCAGAAACCAAATCAATCGCAAGGGGTATATCTGTCCAGAAAATAGTTTGTCCAATATATCCTGCATAGCTCAGCTTGTGCGGAATTGATCAATGTTCTAACCCATCTAGGTGTTACACTTTCAGACCTCTCTCATTCAGTTCCTGCCATATGTTCCTGGGATCCTCAGACAGCTTCGGAAGACATCTGTGTATTTCTCCAATGAGGGTGAGAGAATCCTAGAAGGAGAGAAAGATTTGATGAGAGGTTTTCCTTCGGACAAAAGCTTCTTGCCATTACTTTTTTTAATGTGGTAATGCTCGCTACAGCTGTAATTCCCTTGCATATACCTTAATTCCAGAGTATGGAAGAACAAATGAAATTCTATTCATCTTTGCAGCATAATGACTAGGAAACTAAACTATGAATCCAGAAGTTTCTGGTTTGAATCTTGTCTCTATCACAGGGATGGGGAACATGTGGCCCTCCAGATGTTTCTGGACTACAACTCCCATCATCTCTGACCACTGAGCCATGCTGGCTGGAGCTGATGGGAGTTGAAGTCAAATAACTCCTAGAGGGTAACAGGTTCACCATCCCTGCTCTTCCATGAGCTCACTAGGTGAGCTCTCAACTTCAGTGCCCATCCCATCTGCAACATGGGACCAAGGCTCCCAAGAAGGGCCGCCACAAGCCCCATGAAGGGAACCCCTTCAAGTGTTGTCCTGAAACCCCTAGACCAAAAGAGACATGGACTGAATTAAAGACTGCTTGACCTTCTAGCTGAGAACTGGGAGGGAGGCACCCAGGGCAGGGACTGGGAGAGACATCAGTAGCAGCCACCCAGTGAGGACATCCAGGCCTGTATGTGGCTGACATTTAGCCTCTTCAACAGCAAGAAGGTTCAGTTGCTGAATGGCATTTGCTGGAATGCTGGAGAAGAGCAGCAGTGGGGATTTACAAACTTTGCTCTGCTCTAGTGACTTCTGTATCACCATCTATTTTAATTATTTGAATATATACTGTAAGTTGCCTTGAGAACTTTGGTTAGTAGGCGGGGTATAAATACTCCTAAACAAATAAATAAACAAACCAATAAAACTGACTTAACAGGGCTGCCTCAAATACAGCAACTAGATAATGTATACAAAATGCTTTGAGGACTGAAAGTATTTTATAGTATTACTATCATGTAACATTCATGTACCATGAATAATTCATGTACTGTTCATGTGTCATGAATAAGATACCAGACACAACATTCAGCACAATGAGTTCTATTGAACACCCACTCTTCCATTAAATGTATGACTGCTATTCCCTACCCTGAGCACTCTGGATATATTGTGAAAGCAATATAAAACTGATTAAGCAAATACAGGTTATTATCCAGGACAGTGACATACATTTTGAGCATCAGCAAGAAAACACAGCGGGGAAATGCATGAGCAAACGAAGTTTATATCAACAAAATCCCTGTACCAAGGAGACAGCAAGGCTTAGTGGAAGAGAACATGCAGAGGGTCCCAGGTCCAAACCCTGGTGCCTTCCATTAAAGGTTATTCTCAGTAACAGGGCTAGAAAATCCCCTCTGCCTAGAACCTGGAAGTACTGCTGCTAGTATGAGGACAGAAACAGGCTCAAGTAGACAGACTTGGTGCATGCCAGGTTCATTTGTTCATAGACTGTGCCCATAGTAACCGTAATTGAGTTCTTCTTGTGTTCTCCATTTATATCTTACAGAATGCTACTGCACTGATTGCAGTAGAATTTTCAGTGGGATGGTTGTGCTGGGGAAATGGTTCAACACTCCCTTCCCTGCGCTTCTGATCATGATTTCCCCCATCTGCAACTGGGGCTTAGGGAAAAAAAGAAATGGAAATAAAAGCAATGCTATTTGGAAATAGAACAGTTAAATCAGTTCCCAAACGGGGGCTTGGACCACAGAGAAGGAAATGGCTGGAGCATCCCAGGAAATGTCTAGAGAAGTCTTCTCTAACCTGGTGCCCTTCAGCTATTTTGGGCTACAACTACAACTAGTCTCCTGCTCAGCTGTCCTAGCTCGGCTGATGAGAGCTGCAGTCCTGGAGGGCATCACATTCAGGAAGGCTGCCCTAAAGCTATCAATACAGGCTAGAATTGGTAAGTAAAGTAAAGTAAAGGTAAAGGGACCCCTGACCATTAGGTCCAGTCGTGACTGACTCTGGGGTTGCGGTGCTCATCTCACTTTGTTGGCCGAGGGAGCTGGCGTACAGCTTCCGGGTCATGTGGCCAGCATGACTAAGCCGCTTCTGGCAAACCAGAGCAGCGCACGGAAATGCCGATTACCTTCCTGCCGGAGTGGTACCTATTTATCTACTTGCACTTTGATGTGCTTTTGAACTGCTAGGTGGGCAGGAGCAGGGACCAAGCAGCGGGAGCTCACCCCGTTGCAGGGATTCGAACAGCCGACCTTCTGATTGGTAAGTTCTAGGCTCTGTGGTTTAACCCACAGCGCCACTTGCGTCCCTCATAGAATTGGTAAGTACAGCAAATTGGGAATTTGCACATGGGGAATTTGCACAACCATTTCACCGAGATAAAAAAACAAGAAAGCCAGTTTTTCTGAGTCCTGAACAAAACTTGCAAGCTGAACAGAGAGGAAACAAGGGGGATGTTTTGTTCATGAAGTTTGTGCAGTAAAGTAAAGTGTCAATCTTCCACATGCTGCAAAAGAGCAAAACAGAAAGAGAGAGCAACTGCATGCAGCTGACAGGAACAAGGACCACCTAACAAGAATTAAACAGGAAAGCTTTGCAAACTGGAAGGGAGCTGCTTTCTTTTTATTCTGCTTTGTCTGCCATAAACCACTAACAAAAGGTTTGCATGGACACCTGGGGCAATCCAAAGTTTTGTAAATAAGCATACTCATAGAATCACAGAGTTGTAGAGTTGGGAGGCACCTGAGGACCATCTAGTTAAACCCCCTGCGATACAGGAATCTAATTCATCTATATATATTTGTTAGGCTGTTAAAATACCTCTCTCTCCACCTAAATCCTGACTTACTTTGGTATACATGTACTCTTCCAACTTCTCTTTAAGTAAAACCTCTTCCATCAAGGCCTTCCATCGTCGGAGAAATGCATCATCAGCCAGCTCTGCCCTTTTCTTGGTGCAATGGGCACATTGTGAAGGTTGATGCATTTCAGTGTCTGCTACCTGAGAGCAAAGTAAGAAATAGCTATTAAAATCATTAAAATACTGTCTATGTCTAACTTTTATACATGCCATGCTCTCCAAGGCAATGCAAACTACTTAATGAAAAAACTTTCCCCACACAATGAGATCAATAACCAAGTCCAAGTTACTTTTTAAATGTACATTTGTTTTGCCCCCATGTAATACCCCGTGCAGTCAGACTACCTCTGTTTCACTTAAGGCTGGTCTTATTCTTTTGAAGCTATTGTATTTTAATGGCTGGTATGTACCCATCTTTTCCTGTAGTAAGCAAACATGCCCAAAACTTTTGGCCACCGAAAGGTATCAAAAAGACTAACTTTTTTTAACAAGGGATCCACTGTAAAGAAATCCTGAAACACTTATTAAGTTTCTGATCCTACACATGCTTGTTTGGGAATAACACAGTTTATACTTACCTATGAGCAGGCAGTGTTAGGACTGCGCTGTAAAGTGCCCTGAGAATGAGGCAGAAGAATTAAAGCCTTTTTTTTTGCAGGGCAAGAAACCGTTGGAAAACTGGAGGACAGATTGCTGCACAGTTCAAGTATATATTCCCACTTATGTGGCTTGTGAGGTTAAATGTTATAAGTCATGCATTAATGTGGGTTCACTACTGGACCAAGAATAAGCAATTTAGGCTTATTTTACCAAAGTCCTCCATATGAACACATAAGACCTACACATAAGATTCCTGCATAAGACAATCACATATCAAATTCCTGCATAAGACAACCACATATCAAATACCACAGAGCTGTTAATGCTTATTTACTGGGTAACACTGTGTTTTACACATCTCATCTATCCCACCACATCCCTGTGAAAAGGAGGGCTCTTTGAAGAACAGAGGATGTGGCCAGAAGACAGAACATCCTTCAAGGGCATCCCTGAAACTCATAACTGCATTTGGCTTCCCAATCACACAGAGAATTGGGCTTGGGTTTTGCTGATCTGGGTACAAGTCCTCTTTTAAGGACACATTCTTATAGTGCTTTTGGGGCATTTAATCTTTCATACAAAATTGAATGAGCAAGACTTGGAATGAGCGATTTTTGCACTACCATCACCATCTTTTTGGAATCATGACATCACAGAGTACCCCTGCCCATACTCAAGAGTAGTCTGAAACAAAAAAGGCACTAAAGAAGAACTTGAGTTAATTAAATTAATCACAACACAAATTTGCTTTGCCTCATTTTTAAAAAACAAACTCCCAATACCATGAATGTTAAAAAACTGTAAGAGAGCTGAGTTGCACTAATGTAAACATTAATGTGTTTTGTGAGATCATGTGATGGTAAACAAAAATAGTTTGGTTCAAATATGGATTGCATTAGTAATGCAAGGAAAAAACAAGCCCAACCTCATGTTTTAGTTTCAGTGTTACGAAAAGAACTTTGTCATTTAATGACAATAATATACATAAAAGGATCAGTACCAGTCAAGTCTCAACATCTGTATTAGCAAAGATAATCAACATTTGCCAGGAACATTCCCTGGAACCAAAAACAGATCCATTCCTTCTTTTGGTACCTGTTTCAGTATCTCCTTGATATTTTTCAGACGGAGTCTGTTCAGTAGTTGATCAGGGACTGTGCAATTCAAATCAAATGTCAACGGCTTCTCTGAAGTGAATCCATGCCTCTGTTCATTATGCTTGCTCCTCTTCAATGGCATTGGGCTTGGCATATGATGGAGCTGATTTATTTTGATGGCACAAAAGGATTGTAGAGCGCTCAGTTCTTCCTCAGATACCTCAATAATTTCTGTCAATATTGCACCAGCAAAAAAAATACATACATATAAATATGACTACTTGAAGAGGCAGGAAAAGACTCCTCCAACTCCCATCTGTGCAACCTGATGGAATTAGTATTCCCAAAACTCGGAGTGTACAATACGCTCTATGCAGACTGCAAGCCTCTCCATGAAAACAACTGAAAATAAAAAGCCCTAGAACAAAGGGGAAAGCATGTGTTTCAAAAGAATAATTAGATGCTTGATATTACAGCAGAATTTGTGGTAATTAAAAGAAAATGGAAATGTGGTAAATAAAAGTGACACAAGAATTACCCTCAATGCAGACATTAATGAAAACAGTTTCAGATAATTGCTTAATTTGACTCCTTTTAAATCAGAAATTACAATGTGCATGAGGAAAATACATGAAAAAATATTCAGAAAATAATTCTAGGCAGCTATTAGGCTCTAATCCAACAGATTATGTGTTAAACAGCTGGGGCTTTGGATGCATATAAATAATAACCAAAACAGCTCATCCGTGCATGACAGATGAGAGAGGGCTTCTTTCTCCCCTTCCTGAACAGACCACCAGTGGGATGCGGACTTTTGCAAGAGGGCCACATGCTCACAGCCCTAGCTATGCTCAGCTGGGGACCTGTAGCTCCACAGGTGCACTGCTGACAAGTTTGGCAGTCCAAGCCCTGGGTGCAGGGTTTACCTGCCTCTATTTATGAGAATGGTATACCTTATTCGAACTGGGTATCTGTTCTGAAATACAGGAAAACTTTTTTTTAATAACAAACTTTAATACCTTATCCTCAATGTTTTTAGAGGGTAGCTGCAAGAAGCTCCTATAGAAAGCAGATGGTTTCTTTGTAATAAAGAAGAGGTGGAGTAGTGCCTCATGCTTTGTTTATATGTAGTCACTGTTTTTTAATGGTGGGCAAAATAATCTCTAGGATGATTTTAAGAGTCTCTGTTGATTGTTTGGCGGGGGTGGTGGTCCTCTAATTATTGTTGTTGCTGTTTTACAAAGCAAGTTGCAAAATTTCTAAACACTGCAATTTCTCTTAGAAGGTTGTAATTGCTTTCTGATTTCTTTTTATCTTATTAAGATCCTATGTATGTTAGATTCTTTAAAATTTTATTTTCATTGGTCAACCTTAAATAAATTATATTCATATACAATGCTAGTGCTTTTCTGGTTTGTTTGTTTTTAAATGAGGGGTTGGACTAGATGACCCTCAGGGTCCCTTCCAACTCTACAGTTCTATGAAAATGCTGGTTTCACCTGTCATTTATTTCGCAGACTTTTTACAAAGTTTGTAAAAAAAAAAGAAACCAAAACTCTCCAACACTCTTTTTTATCTGCAACAACTGTGGAAAAGGCAAAAAAGAAATCCACAATCTCAGCAGAAGAATGCAAATAATATCTACTAACTACTGAACTGCAAACCCTCTCTAACAGATACTTAAAGCATCAAACTACAAAATTCAACTGCATCCCAGATATTGTTGTTGTTGTTTAGTCGTTTAGTCGTGTCCAACTCTTCGTGACCCCATGGACCAGAGCACGCCAGGCACTTCTGTCTTCCACCGCTGCAATTGCAAGCTGCAGAGACTATTTTATGCATACAGGCAGCCCCCATTTACGCACATTCAATATGGGGGCAGAGTGGGGTGTTTGCAGCCTTTTTCAATGGGTTTCGATTATATATTATTTCACCAGCGCATGGTGCCTTCGAAAGTAACCTCTGTGTAAACGGCTACCTGTATTTTCAAGGAAGATAAATCTGCAGAAACGGTTTCCCCTCCCTTCCCAGTGAACAGCTGGTGCCAGGAGAGGACCCAGAGGGTCATTTGAAAAATGGAATTAAAAAGAAAGCTATAGACCTTATCCAAGTAATGATCTGGTACAAGACCACTGAATTGAATGGGATTTACAAATAAGCCAGCCTATGTTGATTGTATTTCACATTCCTTGTACAGTGGTATCTCGGGTTAACTTTGCTTCAGGATGAGAACAGAAATCGTGATCCGGCGGCACAGCAGCAGCAGGAGGCCCTATTAGCTAAAGCGGTGCTTCAGGTTAAGAACAGTTTCAGGTTAAGAACAGACAGACCTCTGGAACGAATTAAGTACTTAACCCAAGGTACCACTATAATTTATGCCAAGAGCCACAGAAAGCCATGTTGGCCCAATAGAAATATATATATAAAACCCACAGAAGGGCAATACCTTGATAATGACCAACCAAACTATAACGAATTATCTATCATTGGATTTAAACGAAATATACATAAACAGGGGAACAGAGGAAAATGTGTTGCTGGCAATCACAACATGCCCAAAATCAAAGTTTGTAACAGATATTGCAAAACACCTTGAAAATATTAAAGGGATTTCTCAGCAGGGTTTCTGGACATTTGTTCGTTCAGGGAACCTCAATGGGTAATTTCAAGCACACTGCTATCTAGGGCATTTCATAAGTAAACATTTGAGTCATCTTTCACAGTATCACTCAAAGGCTGGATTAATTTTTTTATTTTGCAGCATTACCTGAAAAGGGATACTTCAAACGTACAAATTGCTATGTCAATCAATCAATGAATCAATCAATCAATCAATCAATCAATCATTATTACGGTCCAGAGACCCAACAAAACGTTACAAAGCAATACACAATTCAGACAGCCTACCTCCACCTTAAACAAACATTTTGTTCATACTTAGAGATAGGTATCATTGGTTCATGCAACCACCGATAAAAACTTCGCCATTGCTAATGTTCTAGCGTTTGTCCGGTCTTCCAATAGGAACCTGACATAGTGAGCCTCTGATTTTCCCGGGAAAGGTTCCAGCAAGGGTAGTATCAGTTCAACCCTGGCTTGCTCGTATTTCGAACAGTGCAGCAAAATATGTTGTATAGAATCGATGTCTTGGGCACACGAGCAGTCTATCCTGGTAGAGAACACCTCTCAACCTGCCATCCAACACTGCAGAAGGAAATATGTTTAGTCTGGCTTTGGTGAATAACCTTTGATAATTTGGTACTGTCAAGTTTCTAATGTAAGGTGTTAACTTAAAGACATGCCCATATTGTACTCCTACTGCCAATGGACTACAGTGGGTTACATACGCTTCAGGTTACAGACGCTTCAGGTTACGGACTCCGCTAATCCAGAAATAGTACCTCGGGTTAAGAACTTTGCTTCAGGATGAGAACAGAAATCGTGCTCTAGCAGCATGGCAGAGCAGGAGGCCCCATTAGCTAAAGTGGTGCTTCAGGTTAAGAACAGTATCAGGTTAAGAACAGACCTCCGGAATGAATTAAGTACTTAACCCGAGGTACCACTGTACAGACAGCGTGTGATCGAGATCGCAAGTCACTGTATGTATTATCCCATAATCTTTGCTATGTTTTCCTGGGCTTAGTGAGTAGGCCTTAATTATCCTGCAGCTAATCTTCAATTATGCATAAAAACGATTAAGAAGCTGCCCCTACCAATTCCAAGTGGATAAAACAAATTGTAAGAGGCTCTTGTGGCTGTAGTTTCCAGCATTTATTAAAACCCAGGGATGCATTTTGGGGCTTTAGAATATAAAAGCATATGCAGTTATTTTACTGTTCTGTCTTCAAAGGGGCATTCGCAAGATGCTACTGGTGTGACTATATTGGTTGATCCAAACATAACACAATTTAATAGAGTTTTTGCTAGAAGATCAGAAAGCCAAGTCAAGGAACCTATGCTAACACTTTTGAAGGCAGAATTCTGTAGGCTGGTGCTTGTTGTCAAAGCTTTCTATAGAGGCTTTAACAGTTAAAATCAAGATTTATGTACCCATAAATATGGGGTTGCCATATTTCAAAAAGTGAAAATCTGGACACAGCACAAAATTGTTTAGCTTTCTTTTTGGATGGGCAAAGTCATTTTTAGTTTTGCCCAAAGCTGTTGAACTTTTCCTGCAAAATCTCAAAGGGGGGGGGGGTGAGCTTTTTTTTGGTTTGGTTTTGATGAAATTCGCCAAAATCTACACTTCCAACATGGACTCCCTTATGTCCAGATGTTCCTGGACATTTTAGCAATTTCCACCCAGACGCTGTTTATGAGGGCTGAATACCAGCTATAACCAGGAAATTCCGGACATATGGCAACCCTAATAAATATACAATAAGCCACTGGAAATATGTCCACCACCAACAAGACACATTCCATGCAGCTAGTTCCAGTCAATCATCTAGCACAGGGGTGTGGAACTGGATTTCGATTTTTATCTCCTCAATCCTCTGTGAGGCTGCAAGACTGGTGACTGGGAACGGCTGCCGGGACCATATAATACCAGTCCAAAAAGATCTAGATTGGCTCCCAGTACATTTCCGAGCACAATTCAAAGTGTTGGTGCTGAACTTTAAAGCCTTGAATGGCTTAAGCTCTGCATGCCTGAAGAAGCGTCTCCACCCCCATAGATAGTTCAGCCCGGACACTGAGGTCCAGCTCCAAAGACCTTCTGACGGTTCTCTCTCTGTGAGAAGTCAAGTTACAGGGAACCAGGCAAAGGGCCTTCTCAGCAGTGGCTCCAGCCCTGTGGAATGTAAACAACTATCTGACTTTTAGAAGATATCTGAAGGCAGCCCTGTATAGGGAAGTTTTTAATGTTTGATGTTTTGCTGTGTTTGATGCCTTAATTTGATGGAAGCCACCTATAGTGGCTGGGGCAACCCAATCAGATGGGTAGCATATAAATTATTATTATTATTATTATTATTATCAGGTTTAGCAGTTGGATGGAGTACAATGATGACATGTGAGCAGAGGCGTAGGTAGGGGTGTGTGGGAGCAGGGCACACTGGGCACCACAGTGTGGGGGGTGGCACTTACCATGGGGCCTGCCCGAGCCACTAGTCTCTTCTGGGAGTGATGCAGTGGCTTGGGCGCCTGCAGGCTGTGCGCTGCCCGAAACAGCAGCATGGGGCTTGTGTCCGCCCACACGCACCGCCCTAGGTAACCGAGCTACTAGCTACAACACTGCATGTGAGCTGTTTTTTGCCCATGCAAACCCACTTTGGCCCAGCCATGTCCTTACCTGCCCTACCTTAAGTAATATATGATGTCAAGTGAAAGGCCAGCAGGCATGGCTTGGCCAGAGGTTCCCCACCCTTGACCTACCAGCTGCATTTGCATCAACTTATTCACTTGAATCATTGCTTCAAATGCACACACTTAAACTTGGGAAGCACCCAAATGCTATGACGAAATAAAAATGCAAAAACTTCCAAGAATGAAAACAGCTAAAATGGTCACACTGTATCACACAAAGGCCTCCTCACAAAGCAGCTGAGATAAGGGCCAAAAGACCAAAAAGCCAATAAGGGCAAGACAGGCATGCACTGTGTGTGCATATGTTCCAACTTCATTCCCTGGCAATTCCAATTAATTTTTTAAAGCATCTCTGGTTGTTGGACATTTGCCTGAGACCTCTGAGTAAACAATTTCTATGACTGTAACTTGCTTTAATCTGTTTTTACATCTTTGTATGCCACCTTTGCACAGTTCAAACCATGCTCAAGACATGAAAAAATACGTAACTACAACATAACAAAAATAGTTAAACAATACCTAAAATATTTGAAAATACACAACCAACCTGAACAATTTCCAAATAAATCACAGTATCTAATATAAACATACAAAAAACTCACAGTGACACCTCCCCCCAACAAAAACCACTAAACAATATCCCACCCCAAAAGCCTCAGCTTTTGTCAGTCAGGGCCCCTACCTCCCAGGCCAGATGGAGGAGGCTTGCAAGGCAGGGAGCAGGTCTTCCAGAACTCACTCCGACATGGTTTTTACTAGTGTGTTGTAATGTACCCTAGAACCTTAGGGTGAAGGACAGATTAGGAATAATGGTGGTGGAGGTGAGTCACAATCTACTGGGCAGATTCACTCCCTCCCCCTTGCCCAAAAGACACCAGGCCCACAAATTATTTCAAAGAACTGAAGCTGGGGAATTTGAAAAGCAGAAAGAGGATGCTTATCAGGGGAAAGAAGGAAGTCCCTGCAAGCTTCTTTGAGTTGCAGTGGTGGCCTCACTTAGAAATGATGTTCAAATCCTTTGCAGGGAAGAAGAAGAAGACTGGAAGTGAGTACAGACTGTCCAACAGTCAAATGGACTACATGAATGAATGAATAAATGATTGAATGATTTATTGATTTACAAGTCACATCTAAAAATTGACTCACTGTTAATTGGTTCAATGGCAGGTTTAGCTAGCCGAGTGCTAGCTTTGTTTTCTTTCAGGAGACTGATCCATTTTCTAGTTAAATATTCTCTTACAACTGCAGATTCCAAAACTTCTGATTTTTGATCTGGGGGGGGAAAGGCAATGTATGTAGGAGGACAGTGTTGGAACAGAGTAAAACATGCACACACACACAAAGGAGGAATAAACAGGCCTTCACACCGGGCAACTTTTCTGTAATGTACATGCCCTGGAAATCACAGGAATCAAAGAAGGAAAGCCACCTGACATAGAACCAGGTGCAGGTCCAGTTTAGCCCCCACACTTCTTATATTCATATTCATTCCATGCACAATAGATGTTACGCTCAATTAAATGTACACAGGATGAACAGTAGGGCTGCAATCCTATGCTCTCCTTAAATTGAGTGCTGGTGAACTCATTAGGGCTAATCTTCTGCGTAAATATACTTTAGATGGCATGTCATCCACTTTTCACATTAATGCTTATACAGAACAGCTACCACCTCTTGCCATGCCCACCCTTCCCTGCTGCTGCAACACATGGGCATGCAGCCACTGTTAGCCTGGGCTGAATGGTCTGGCTGTACAACATGAACTAAGAGCAGGCTTGTATGAGGAAAATGTGTGTAGAGCCTTCCACACTGTTTTGCTCAAGTAGTTATCACTGGTGTGAAAGGATGGCACAAGTACAGAACCTGAAATGGGTGTAGGATTCCTCAGCTTTTCCTGTATTAGTTGCCTCCTACATCTCTGCCTTTCTCTTACATTAGCAAAGAGCTTTGTCTGTCCACAATTGTCACCCTAGCAAAGGGAAGTTAGTGGTCACCTGCACTTACTCAGGTGAACCCAAGACATATGGAAGACGGAAGGTCTTCCTACCGTCACCACCACTAAACATCTACACTTCCTCCTTGGTGCATAATGCTTCCTGTACAGTATTGCTAAGTGTCTTCAGCAAAAATAACATTCTGACCTGGTAAACCAGTATTCTGAGTGTTCTGCTGTGAACACTGCAAATGACGTTTCCCTTTCTCTGTCTTCCCCCCTTCTGCTTTCCTTTGCATTTTTGCTGATCTAAGTCTCCTCCCACTAATCATAGGATTGAATGAAGAACTGATAAAAATGCATAGGGAACCTAACACACCTTCATCATTTTGACTTGATGATTGCCATATGCTTTCAGACAGATCCAACACAGCACGGCATTCTGACTCCTCTCCAGAGTAATAAGATTCAAATGGGTCATTTTCATATTGTCTGTAGGTTTCCTCCTCTCCTTCACTGAAAGACGTAAATGTATCCTCTGAATAGTCTGGGATGGAGCTGCTGCAATGCCTCCTCAGGTCCATCTGCTCTGATACATGCATCCCAGAGTTGTCTGCCCAGCTAGTTACAAGGATGTTCAACTAAAAATAATCAATGCAAAATTAATTATAGATGTAATACTAGGGAGCTAATAGGGAGCTAATAGAAAAATATCACTCTGTACACTGTCAGCACAACAGTCAACAATGAACTCTGAATATTAGTCTGAAATGCAGCAATACCACCAGTGATTAATTGCACAACCCCCACATTTATGAATAAAATGCAAGAGGATAACCATGTTAGCCTGTTGTAGCAAAAAGTAAAATAATAAGTGGCATCTTAGAGACTAATGGCTGCATCCAAATTCACACTCAAAGCAGAACCATTGAAATTAATGGATCTGTTAGTCACATTCATTAATTTTAATGGTTTTACTCCCAGTATGACTAACACTGGGTACAAACTTAAGGCTACAATGCTGTGTGTACCTGGGAATAAGGCTAACTGAACTACAATCTATTTATTGTGACCTAAAGGTTTTTGAGGATTACTAGTACACAAAAGCTTGTGCCCCAATGCAGTCAGTATTTTTTTTATGAAATGTTATACTCCAATTTCTCTTAAAGCAAGGCTTAATGTAGCTTATTAAAAAAGCACCTAACACATGTGAATAACCACCCTCCCCTCCCCCCCCCAAAAAAGAGCACAAAAAAGGAACAGAAGGAGTAAAATTACAGTGGTACCTCGGGTTATAGACGCTTCAGGTTACAGACGCTTCAGGTTACAGACTCTGCTAACCCAGAAATAGTACCTCGGGTTAAGAACTTTGCCTCAGGATGCGAACAGAAATCACATGTTGGCGGCGCGGCGACAGCGGGAGGCCCCATTAACTAAAGTGGTACCTCAGGTTAAGAACAGTTTCAGGTTAAGAACGGACCTCTGGAACGAATTAAGTTCTTAACCCGAGGTACCACTGTACTGGGCATTGAAAGCACAGGTAAAAAGAAGTTTGCCTGATACTGAAAAGACAGTACATAATCATGACACCAGACAAATTTGCTTGGCACTGAATTTCACAACTAGGGCACCAAGGCCATTTGCTTCTTACAGAATATGACAATAATTCAGGTATCCCAGTCTCAAGCCATTTAGGTTCAATAATTTTGAATCAAAAACAATATGGCAGCCAATGTATATCCTAAGAACTTGTGAAATACATTTTAGATGTATACTCTGCTCTACAAAAACATTATCAAGGCAGCTTACAATAAAATCTTTAAAACATGCTACAACAATTAATGCATTAAAATAAGCAAAACACAAAACTCTATCAAAGCAGCACCCCATAAATAAACCATAAAAGTGAATAGGTTGAAAAGCTTTAAAGCCTGTGAAAATTAAGAGCCTCTGCCTAGTATTAGGAAGATATCAGAGTGAGTGACAATAGCGTGAGTCTTTTGGGTGAGAAATTGCTGCATGCTCCTTGTCAGAAATTGAAATCACACATGCGAATACAAGTGATATTCACTATCATTGTTTTTTTACTCTGCAAACTTTACATAAATACTTAGATAAAACTTTTAATTAAAAGACACAGTAACCCTGGAACATCAATAGGGAATTGCCTGTCCACACTAGACAGGCTAATGCTGCAAGTATTATTATTTTTATAAAAAAAATTAATGGTCACAGATAAGGTCTGGAAATACATGGATGAGTAACAGAGAAGCATATAATAAAAGGTTTCGTATCACTTGAACATATTTTCAAGTGACGGAGCACTCAGAGCAGTTTCCCACCCCTAGTTTTAAAAAAGATGTATTGCTTAATACAGTGGTACCTCGGTTTACGAACTTAATCGGTTCCAGAAGTCCGTTCTTAAACCAAAACCATTCTTAAACCGAGGCACACTTTTCCTAATGAGGCCTCCCATCGCCGGTGCCCTTCCACCGTTCGGATTCCGTTCTTAGACCAAGGTAAAGTTCTCAAACCAAGACACTGTTTCCGGTATTGCAGAGTTTGTAAACCAAATCTTTCTTAAACCGGACTGTCCTTAAACCAAGGTACCACTGTACTTATAAATCCTACAAGCCCAGAAAAATTGGCAGGTACTTTAGATTCTATTTTGTTAAGCTTTTTTTCTTTACAGAGACAGACCAGTATCAAAAGAAAAGAAAAAATCCACCACCACAAGCAAAACAATTAACTCTAGCAGGGAAATACAATTCATTTTTCTGTAACTAAGATAAAACTGCCTCTAGTACACATTGGCATGATAAAAATTACATATTCTATAAGAAATATTTGCACACTGATAGCCTAATTTTAAAAGCAAAAACCTTCATACATAAAGAAGTAACCCTCTAAAAGAATTGAGAAGATAAGGTCCCATATTTTTTAAACAAGCACAAATGCATTTTACTTCAATGATGCTATCAGGACTATCATGTATCCAGAAGGTACACTGGATAAATCTCTTTTATTTTATTTAAGCACCCAAGCATAGTTTAGCAGCACAGCAGAAATTACCTTCTGTTCATGTTTAAAAAGGACCAACTTGGCATGTTCCTGACAACTTCAGGCAAGTTTATAGTCGGGAACAAATTAGAATACTTGGGTGACTTCAGCAGGCAATCTAAATTCAGGCTATGGCAACAAAGGGCCAGGTGAGATCCTGACAGCACATCCTGATGCTTCTTCATTCAGAAGCAAATTCTGTTGTGGTCAGTGAAGCTTATTCCCTAGTGTATTCAGGATTACATATTGTTTTGCCTGGGAATAAGGACTAAGAGTTAGATCAACAGCTTCACAGACCACACATTTAAGAGAAATCGTATATATCAGGAACACCATAGAAAAAGCCTGCAAACACCACAACTGCTCCCTCCAAACCTCCTTGCTCAAACTCCAACTCTCGACAAGTCTCAAAGGTACTGGTGCAAGGGCTCTCAAGATTGCGCGTGCAAAGGATTGCTAGGCACTTTCTCTTGTTTTGTTTTGTTTTTTGCTGTTTTCTCGCTCTTTTGGGGTGCCACTTCTGGGTTCGTGGTGATGCGTGCATGCACAGTGCCTTTAACACACATAAATGGGTAGTTGCCTGTACAGAGCTGTTTTTAACTGAATACATTGGTACCTCAGGTTAACCACTTAATTCATTCCGGAGGTCCGTTCTTAACCTGAAACTGTTCTTAACCTGAGGTACCACTTTAGCTAATGGTGTCTCCCGCTGCCGCTGCACCATGATTTCTGTTCTCATCCTGAAACAAAGTTATTAACCCGAGGTACTATTTCTGGGTTAGTGGAGTCTGTAACCTGAAGCGTCTGTAACCTGAAGCGTATGTAACCTGAGGTACCACTGTACAAAGCATTCTGAACCTTTCAAATACGTGATCGTGATTACTATTACTATTCACCACTCATGTCGCATTGGACCTATGAGAAAAGGGCCACATAGTTCAGGGGAAGAGCTCTGCATTGCAAAAGGTCTCAGGTTCAAAACACAGCATCTCCAGGAAGAGACCCTTGCTTGAAACCCCGGGGGGTGGGGTGACCACTGCTAGTTGATGAACTGTAGAGTGTAGATAATACCGAGGTAGATGGGCCAACTCTGCACGAGGCAGCACTCCTATGTTTACAACACCCCTGTAAGGTAGACCAGTATTAATAAAAGCAGCCACAGCCGATAAAAGCTGGGCAGCTGATTGCCAGGTTAAGCAGCTGCTACATCCTAGCACAGCGACGCAGAGCTAATTGATAACTCTGAAAAAAGGGGGAGCGTTCGTGACTAAATCTTCTCTTCTTAAATGCAGGAGGGGGGGGAGACACCATAAGAGGGGGGGGAGTAGGCGTTTTGGGCCTCCTTTTCCAAAGACGAGGAAACGCCAGAGATAGACTGGCTACATGCATTTGTTTTCAACCCCCCCCCCCCCGCGAGCCTCTCACCTAAATGCAGCTTGGCTTTGAATCAAAGCCCAGCCCGCCTCGCTCCCTGTCGAAGGCCGCTCGCTGCAGTTGCCATGGCTCCCGCGAGGCAGCAGCGGGTGTCACGCTCTTAACTTCCCTCCCGCTCACGTTGCCGTCGCTCTCGGGTTCTGCTTCGAGTGGTTGGTTTGCATCTAGGTCTGATGTTTCCTTCCACCCGCATTCAGCGCGATCGTCCTTTGCAGGTTTTGGGGTTGCCAAGCAAGACACAATTTCACCTGCCCTAGCCAGAATCCCACCACAAATAATTTGGAGCGATGTCGTGTGTGTGTGGCGGCGGCGAGACATTTATGTAATGTAATAGGAATATTTAAATAATTAAAGCAGGCGGTCTGCACAAGTCCATAGGGACTTTTATTAGAAGGGGTTTCCACACACACCCCAGCCCCGCAAAGAGTTTCCAGGGGGATGGCGGGACCAATTAGGACGTGCTCAAGGGGGGTGGGTTGCGTTTTTAGGTTCATTTTACTAAGCCATAGCTGTCAACTTTTCTCTTGCGAGGAATTCTATTCGGAATAAAGGAATTTCCCTTTAAAAAGGGGGAAAGTTGACGGCTATGATGGTAGCTTCATTCACTGAAGAAAGGTCCTTTTCTGCTTATGGCGCAGAGGCAAGCAGATCACGGTGCTAGAGGTTTTTTTCAAACAAAATTGGGCAACATCTGTAAGTGTCTTTCAGTTTCCATCAGCAATCTTAAGGGAACCAACAGCTGTGGCCTTTTTTCAAAAGGAGAAATGCTATATTGCTTTGAACTAGAGGCGGGAAAGCTGGCTCTGAAAATGAAGTTAGGATATTTTTCAGACATTGCCACCGCTCTCATTTCACAAATGGAATCAAAGGTGCTCTTGTATGCTTGTGTATGAGGTTGCTTCTAGTCCACAAAACCCCAGCGCAAAGTCGTGCCGGTCTCCCGAGAGCCACGCAGAGCTGCCTGCATTCTGAAGCCTGGGGCGCACTGAAGAGTGTGCCCGGGCTTCGTGCAGCTCTCCGCAAGCCTGGGGAGACCGGCGCGACTTCCCGCCGGGCTCCCTAGGCTTGCGGATAGCAGACTGTTCTTGGGGTTGGGGTCGGGGGAAGCTCGGGCTTCCCCGCGCCAGCCCCGTGCCTGGGGGGGGGAATATTTTTTTCTTTATTCCCCCCCCCAAAAAAAAAACTAGGTGCGTCCTATGGGGCGAAAAATACAGTAGATTGGATTTACTTACTGTATATAGAGTACAGTGGTACCTCGGGTTACATACGCTTCAGGTTACATATGCTTCAGGTTACAGACTCCGCTAACCCTGAAATAGTACCTCGGGTTAAGAACTTTGCTTCAGGATGAGAACAGAAATCGTGCAGCGGCGGCGCAGCAGCAGCAGGAGGCCCCATTAGCTAAAGTGGTGCTTCAGGTTAAGAACAGTTTCAGGTTAAGAATGGACCTCCAGAACGAATTAAGTACTTAACCCGAGCTACCACTGTAAATAGATGCAGATCGAATGGCTGCTAGAGGCACAGAAAGAAGAGCCAGTTAAAAGTTGGCAATGCTTCTTTGTCACTTCAGTCCTGCAAGGCGTGACATGCATGGAAACTGTCTTATACAATTGGTCCATCTAGCTCAATATTGTCTACACTGACTGGCAGCAGCTCTCCAGGATTTCAAAAAGGGAATTTCTCCTTGCCCTACCTGGAGCTGATAGGAACTGAAGCCAAATCTTCTGTATGCAAGCCATTTGCTCTTCCACAGAACTATGGCTCTTTCTCATGCACAGGAATCTGCCTTTTTTGAAGTCAGACCATTGGTGCATCTAGCTCAGTTTTGTCTTGATTGACTGGCAGTGACTCTCTAGAATTTCAGGTACGAGTCTTTCCCAGCCCTACCTGGAAGTGCCATTGAGAATTGAACTGGGCCCCTTCCTGCAGGCTTGCAAAGCTTGCTATGAGCCCAGATGTCTCCTTCCGTGCTTTCAGTCTGTGGATTTCCAACCCAGGCCTTTTCATTGTCTTTCTGCAGATCACATCACTGCCAACAATGCCCCCTGTTCCTGTCATAATTTATATTTTGAAGAGCATCATTCTTGGAAGTAAACAGTTGTTTTTTCCCCTAGAACCTGAAGGTCCTAATAGATAGTCCAGCCTAGTTGTGTCATGGGATATTAAGATTCGTCAGTGTTAGTATTCTCAAGCTGTTTCTATACAGAGTGTTAGTGCTGTTGGGCTGTTAAGAGACTCTGACAAGCTCTTGTAGAAGTGCATTTAATTGTATGTTAAGTGATTTTTTTAAAAATCAGCTCTATGTCTAACTAGTGGCAAACACTCTAATTTTCCCACTGTTGTTAACAATGTGCCCATCATTACTACGTGTGTGTGTGTGTGTGTGTGTGTGTGTGTGGAGAGAGAGGGGGGGGAACTTGTACTCTTCAAGCACCCCTTTTGGGGTGCAATACACTATGTGCAGGGTTGGTTATACCATTAGATGGAGTGAGGTTGCTGCCTCAGGTGGCAGATTCTGGTGTGGCGGCAGCAGCAGCAGTAGCAGCCCTGCCCCTCTTCCCTCTTGGGTCCCATATGTTAGCCTCTTGCCCATAGGTTCAATGGGCAATGCTGACTTCAGCATTAAAGTCAGGTTTACTAACTAGTCGGGTGAAATATCTGTACATCAAACTGAGATTTGCTATAGGGAGCAAAATGTTTTGAGGCTGTACCTGACTCTGTGCACAGAGAAGCATTTCATACAATGAGAACTAGACAATCAAAGTACAAAACTTTACCCCCCCCCCCCCCAGAAATAGATAAAGGCCATTCACTTGTACAGTAGAAGTGCTCACTCAGGGACACACATGCTCATGGAGAGCCCAGCAATGAAGAACTAAGTCCTATCTTTTATTTTACAGCATTTTATAATAACAAGGTTTGCGATGACACTAACATTTTTTCCCTGAGGAGAGACTGTTCTTTTCTAAATTAAACATTCTTCATTCTTACCACTCACAACTGGTTTATTTTGTGGACAGTAAAGGCAGCAAAGGCTGGTAGCTTCTGAGAAAATTAAAGATACAGTACCATTGTCGTTGACATAGAAAGAACATCTGTCACAAAACATATATAACATATTAACATGTGAAGTGCTAACGGCAGATAAACATACATAAATTAACAAAAGCAGATAGAAATCAACACAGCAAAGCTAAGTCCTACTTAGAGAAGACCCATTGAAATTAATGGCCATGATGACCAACTTAGGTCCATTCATTTCAATAGGTCTACAGCCTTACTATAGGGTTAACACTGGATACAGCCCATTGCCTCTTACTGGTGTTGTGAGTGCTTGCATAGCGGGGTCTTGTGTCCTGTTTTATAGTGTGCAGTCTTCTGTTTGAAGTTACAGTCCAAAGAAGAGAAGGGGTGGGGGAGGAGGACTTGAAGCTGTCCACCTCCAGTTAGCACCTGGGCAGCAGTCCGAGGGGGTACACAGATCACCTGGACCCAGTGCTCTCCATGGTGGTTTGATGCAATGTCTTTCCATTGCAGAAGGAACACTGGTTAGAGTGTTCAACTAGAACCTGGGAGACCAGGGTTCAAATCCCCACTCAGCCATGAAGCTCACTAGGTGACCGTGAGCCAGTCACTCAATCTGAGTCTGACCTACCTCACAGGTTGTTGTGAGGATAAAATGCATAGGAGAAGAACCGTGTACACCACCTTCAGCTCCTTGAAGGTAGAGTGCAGTTCAAGGGGTGTGGGGCACCTGGGCGCTGAATTCTGGGGGGCACCAGGTGCCCACCGCTGAAGCCACCTAAGCTCTTAACTATCTACCTGTTATGAAATAATAAATAATTTTGATCAAGCTAGAAAAACAAAATACATATATACCTAGGTATTACCAAAATGTATACCTACTGTTTCACTAAAGGACTTTCGACTTTGTGGCTCATTTACCAAAGACGCACCACACCAGCAGCAGCAACTGTCATTCACAATGGCGGCGCTTCAGACTCAACGACGACGTTGTCATTCTCAATGGCGCCGTGCACACAAAATTAACTCTACATGTTTTATTGAGCTGTGCTGCTATGTGGCAGCAGGGTCAGCGGCACCTTTGACACAACTGATGTTTCTCCTAAATAGGAGCCTAAACAGTACTTATAAGTTTAAGTGTGGTGGTGTTGTATACTTAAGTATAAGTGTAATGTAAATAAATGAGCAAAAGAAAAGTTTGTTTCTTTTTCCTCCCTTCTTTCGTAAACAAGAGATAAGGCGTAAGCGTGGTGTCTGACATAAACATAATAAAAGTTAATTTGGGGGCTAAACTAAATTTGGGGGCGCTGGGCGAATCTTTGCACCCCTGTGGTGCATATGCTAAAGATGGCCCGGATAGGGTGGGATATAAATGTAATAAGTAATTGCATCAGTACCAGCTGCCTGTCACCCTGGGTGTAAAGAAACAAAGTGTAAGGTAAACCAGACTCTCTCTCGCACATGTCAATGCTGTATCCAGTTGGGAAAGGTTTATGATTGAATAGCCGCCACTCTTTCATATGGAGGGGGGCAGTTTAAGGGGGACACTCAAAGACACTTGCACCTGCATCTTGTGGTCTCAGTGTTTAAAGTGAGAATCTCCCCCATCTGTCAATTATAGCCTATACTACGGACTTTGCACCATAAACCTTCCAAGTTTCCAATACTCTTTTAATAAGGCAGCTAATCCTATAAAGTTGGGGTGCAGAACCTCCAGCCTGAGCCCAAATGCAGCTCTCTCTGTTTTTATTTTCTTATCTTGGGATTCTCCCTTGGCTACATCTTTTTTCTACGTCATCAGCCCCACTAACCTTGCTCCATTCCCTCCCTCAGTGCTTTTGCCTGCCTGGAACGTGCCCTTCAACTGTGATAATACTTCTTGCTTCTCTGGATGCAGATATGTGCATGGTACTAAAGAAACCTTCTAACTTTTGCATAGTTTAAATAGAGTTTCCTGCACTAAGTGTGGGTAACAGTAATTTCTCTGCCTCTTTTGCCTCCTGCTTCACCCACCACAGACATGGCCCCCATGGTGGTGGTGGTCCTTGGGCTGATTCCCCCCCCCCATTGTTTATGAAGTCTCTCTGTACCTTTCTACTGCTAGGGAAGTGGTAACCCATATCAATATTTTAAAGAGCATCAATAGTGTGAGTTTAGGGGGGGGTATAGGGTGCATGCCCGAGACCCTTCTAATTCCTAGATCTAACAAAGGTTAAAATCTAATGGAGGATTCAGTTGTAGCAAGGCTAGCTTCTTGGTGGTGGCCCTCTAGCAGGAGTTGTTAAGGAAGTGGCTCTGGGTGCCTCCCCCCTCTCAACTGGCTGTTAGTTAGAAGGGCAAAAACCAGAGCTAAGGTGTTTATGAACTATAAGCAGAAGGCAGAAGTTGAAAGCCTGTCAGGGAAAGTCTTGCTTGATTTCTGTTGGAATCTAAGGCTGTGGCTAAGGGAGAAGCAAGACTTTATTGGGGTGATAATGCTGCGAGCTCCTCTATCCTATGCTCAGGTTGCAAAAAGGTAAAGGTAAAGGGGCCCCTGACCATTAGGTCCAGTCGTGGCCGACTCTGGGGTTGCGACGCTCATCTCGCTCTATAGGCCGAGGGAGCCAGTGTTTGTCTGCATACAGCTTCCGGGTCATGTGGCCAGCATGACTAACCTGCTTCTGGCGAACCAGAGCAGCGCACGAAAACGCCGTTTACCTTCCCACTGAAGTGGTACCTATTTATCTACTTGCATTGAGGTGCTTTTGAACTGCTAGGTGAGGGGATTTGAACCGCCAACCTTCTGATCGGCAAGTTCTAGGTTCTGTGGTTTAACCCACAGCGCCACCCACGTCCCTCAAGTTGTATATATGTATAAATAAATCATATATCCTAAACAAACCACAGGCTCTGCTATCCCTCATTCCAAGGAAAACAGAATGCTGTGTAAGCACGTGTAACCCCTGGAATATCAAACCACTTGAGGATTATGGTGGTGTGCAACAATACAGTTCAAAAGCTCCTTTAAAGGAATAGTACAGTCATACCTCGGGTTGAAGTAGCTTCGGGATAAGTACTTTTCGGTTGGGCGCTGCGGCGACCTGGAAGTAACGGAGCACGTTACTTCTGGGTTTCGTTGCTTGCGCATGTGCAGATGGTCAAAATGACACCACGCGCGTGCACGGAAGCGGCAAATCGCGACCCGTGCAGACGCACAAACGCAGGTTGCGTTTGCTTCTGTATGCGAACGGGGCTCCAGAACGGATCCCATTCGCATCCAGAAGTACAAGTGTAATGGATATACTATTGAAACTGAAATTACACTTAGCTACCATTTATCATGTAACAGCAGAATATTGCATTTAAAATTACTTGAGATATGCATCCTTTGGAAGGACTGCTGCCATTTTTTTATTTCAATAAAATGGCTTCAATTTCCGTTTATCCACATCTTCAGCTGGGAAACAGTCTTCAATCCAGTTGTTCTGCGTTTGCCCCGATGGATCAGAAATCGTGCATACAAATTAAATGTTACTAGTGTGAGTTGGTTAAGATTTTAATGAAACTGCGGAGTAAATATTAATAGTCAAATGTAGGGATCTCAACCAATTAAGGATTTTCAGTTGATTCATTATCAGGCTTTTATCTGCCAGCAGCCCTAACCATGGCATAACTATGGTGTCAGTTGTAGGGCAGCTAAAGTTGTGGCTAAGCCAAAATGAGATTTGCAGGCATAACTGATCAGCTGCTTGGCCACACATGCAAATCTTCCCAAGCATGACAATCCATGGATTGTCAATGCAAGAAAAAGTACTTTACCTGATATCAAGTGATTGACAGGTGGGCAACCCCCAACACCTGTAAAACATGTCCCACAGACTGTGGGGAAGGTAAGGATGCTAGGACCTAGGATTCACAGGCCATTCACCACTGGTTTCACATAAAGAGGAAACGCACCCTGTATCATCAGTGGTTCCCTGTGGCTGCATGTTGCAAGTAAATATTGGTAAGCTACAACGCTGTGCACGCTGACCTAGAAATAAGCCCCACTGACCTTGCTTGTTGTGCATAGGATTGCACCAGAAGGCTAGCAGGCTTCAGGGGAAGCTTGCTTGCTCTTATCTTATCCTATGGTCTAGGGTACTAGGAGTCCCCAGGACACAATTTCTAATACCATTTCCTGCTAATCAGTGGCAATGGCCCTGATTTAGGAGCCTCAGTACAACTGCAGTAAAGTACGTCATGAAGAAAATAGGGAGAAGTTCACCGATTCAGGGAAGCGTTTTTCTTAATTCTTAATTGCAAACTCACAGCACCATGTTGTCATGAAACTGAAGTTTATTCTTTGACACCAGTTGCCCAGTGAAATTTTGCAGAGGCAATTATAGTTGAGCTTCACAGAGGTTAAGGGACCTTCCCAAAATTCACACTGTAGAACAAGTGTAGTACAGGGCCTGAGCTCCTCTGTTGTGACATGAAACAGAGAAACGCCACTTCTTCATCCCTGAATTCATTATCCGGTAATGAGAATACGTATATTACGGATGCAGCCTCCCCACTGCCAGTCTCCTTTAAATTGGTTATATTATCAGGCAAGTAGAACAACAGGTTCATAGAGTTCACAAATCCAGCAGCTGAATTAAAGGCTTCCACTTAAAGCCTATGGACTCCCTCTCGTGATGTAATAAGTTTGCTTATTAACATTTCTGATGCGTAATTATGTGCCTTTCAATCATGTTGCTGGTCTGCATATCCAGCTAAAGAAATGTGGAGGCAGGGAGATAGAGAGACAAGCAGCAGGGAGCTAATACTGAATTTGGTACATGTGTTAAGCAACAAACTGCTCAAGGGATTCGTCTGTTTATGTGTGACAGGGAGCTTTCTGAGAATATTTAAATATCTATGGGTGACGCTCAATGGCCATTCACGTGTAGGAAGTGTTACTACTCTCTCAGGGTACTTGAGGTGCGGTGGGGGGTGGGGACTGGACATCTCTGGAGTAGCACTGTGCCAAACCTTCAATTTCTCATAAGTTTTCTTCCCTTGCAAAAGAGTTTGGCATTTCACCGCTCCTCACCTCATTTACATAGTGCTTTTGAATTTCTTTAGCATTTCTGTACCTTTGCAGGGTTGAGCTTCCCATATCATTGCAAAACTGCTGTGGGCAGTGGGTTTTTTAAAATTTCCATTAAATGTTTTTCCAGTGAACTGCAGATTCTTGATCTGAAAAAGCCTTATGGGAGAAGTTGCCTTTATGATGTCTTCTCCTGTTTTAATTAAAGGGGGTGGGGGTGGGGAATTGGCTATCAAGCACGTAAGATTGGTGTACCCACGGATTTTGTTTTTAAAGGAAGTTCTTCCTTTCACCTTTTATTCCTCTTAAATTTCAACGCTGATTTATTTAAAAGTAAAAATACTTCCCTTAAAATAAAATAAAACCGAACAGTTGCCAGGCACACAGTAAGCAGCCTCTCCACCTTCATGTGCTTTCAGGATACCTAGATACCTAGATGAAGATGGTTTGGAGCTCTGAAGTTAGTTCTGCCAGGGCACTGGAGGTGATGCTGGACACAGGAAGGAGGAACCAGACATCAGATCTCGCTGCCCAACACCAGAGCTCTGTCTCTGACACTGAAGAGCATCATCCACCCAGGAGCTACAGGGCTGCACCCTCATTTGCTATTTTAATTTGGGTATCGTGCTAATTCTGTTATAGGCTTATTTCTCTAAATTGGTTCAGTGGCTTATTTTGTTATTGCTTTGTTTTCAGTTACATTAAGGTAAAGGTAAAGGGACCCCTGACCATTAGGTCCAATCGTGACTGACTCTGGGGTTGCGGCGCTCATCTCGCTTTATTGGCCGAGGGAGCCAGCGTACAGTTTTCGGGTCATGTGGCCAGCATGACTAAGCCGCTTCTGGCGAACCAGAGCAGCGCACGGAAACACCATTTACCTTCCCACCGGAACGGTACCTATTTATCTACTTGCACTTTGAGGTGCTTTCGAATTGCTAGGTTGGCAGGAGCAGGGACCGAGCAACGGGAGCTCACCCCGTCGTGGGGATTCGAACCGCTGACCTTCTGGTCTGCAGTCCTAGGCTCTGTGGTTTAACCCACAGCGCCACCCCTGTCCCTTCAGTTACATTATAATGGGCTAAATAATAGTACAAAGAGCAGTGTATATTTTAAATAAATAATTAAGGGTAATAAACCTACTTCTAAGATCAATGAGAAAAGGATCCCTGTTTTTGTATTATTCAAACGCAGGCAAAAAAAAAATATTGTAATGAATCCCACTCAGGCCAAATACAAATATATTAAAATAATAATTCACAGAAAAAATTGACAGAAGGCGATGAGCCAGTAAAACAGAGGCTACATTAACTATATCTATCAGCTTCCATTACATGCTAAACATATTCTCAGGATGAATAAAATTGCTTGCCTGTTACCACAGTGCCTTATTAACATTTCGCTCTTGCAGCAGCATCCAGAAACTTTAAAGTTTCCTTCAATTATATTGCATTTGCTGTCTCCCTCCCCCACACCCCAGGCACTGGTGATCACAAAAATGATCACCCTGATCCAGCAAAAAAAAAACCATATGCACACATAAGCAAACTTCCATGCATTACATAAGAATGTAAATATAGAGCCCTGCTGGATCCAACCAAAAGCCTATACCAGGACAGGGGAGCCCCCTTTCAGCCATGTCCCCTTCTGAGCAACTAGGATTGTTCTTATACTGAACAGTATAAACAAATGTTTGAGTTATTTTTATATATGCAGTTGTTTTGTTTATGGTTTTTTATTGTATTGTAAAATTGCTTTGGACTACCTCATGGAACTCCTGCCAACCTAGCACTTCGAAAGCACGTCAAAATGCAAGTACAGTGGTACCTCGCAAGACGAATGCCTCGCAAGACGAAAAACGCGCAAGACGAAAGAGTTTTTCGTTTTTTGAGTTGCTTCGCAAGATGAATTTCCCTATGGGCTTGCTTCGCAAGACGAAAACGTCTTGCGAGTTTATTTCCTTTTTCTTAAAACTGTTAATACCGTTAAAACCGTGCTTCGCAAGATGAAAAAAATCGCAAGACGAAAAAACTCGCAGAACAAATTAATTTCGTCTTGCGAGGCACCACTGTAGATAAATAGGTACCGTTCCGGCAGGAAGGTAAACAGTGTTTCCTTGCGCTGCTCTGGTTTGCCAGAAGCTTAGTCATGCTGGCCACATGACCCGGAAGCTGTATCCCGGCTCCCTTGGCCAATAAAGCGAGATGAGAGCTGCAACCCCAGAGTCGGCCGTGACTGGACCTAATGGTCAGGGGTCCCTTTACCTTTTTACCTCATGGAAAGCATTTCATAAGTGAAATGAAATAAATAGTTCTCAGCCCAGGAGGGGCTGGGGGAAACACACAGTGATCTCGCTCAGTATCATTTGCATCTCCTGGGCTCTAAGTCCCATTATCCCTGACTACTGGCCATGCTGGCTGGGGCTGATGGAAGAAGCAATCTAATAACCTCCGGAGCATACCATGTTGGTTACCCTTGGTCTACACTGACTGGCAGCAGCTATCCAGGGTTTCAGACAGGAGTCTTTTTCAACCTTACCTAGATATGCCAGGGGTTGTATCTGGGACCTTTTGCATGCTTAGTATGTTCTCTACCACAGAGCTACTTTCTGCTTCAGAGCATTGGGGTTAGAAAGATCTGCTACCCTGCTGACTTATTGCAGCACATCCTATTAGAGCATCTTGAGCTGTGTTGGGACAAGTGTTTTCTGCATGGCAAGCAGTAGCAGAATTTCTTTTTAATGAAGGGCCCTTTTCCCAAAATGCTTCCCAGTTACAGCTTTTCAGGCCTGTGTGTCAGGTATACTCTCTGCATCAATTATCCAAAAAGGGCAGAATATATTTCCTTTTTAAAAAAAAAGCTATGCTTTTCTGTTCAGCCTGTTAGTGCACTCTTGTTATTTCTTTTCTCAGCAATGAGCTTCTGCAGCTACAAACATTTCTTGTCTTTTGGCTAAAGAGATGTTGTCTAGGAGGTTCAGATCCAGCTTGTGCAACTCAGGGAAAATAAGGAAATAATACTTCAGCAGAGGATTAGCTACTTTTGACAGAGATGTCTCTGTACAGTTTATGAATGGCTGATAGGGTGTCATGGAACGTTCACAAACAATTCATTCTGGTCAGCAACAAAACGTTCACACTGGTGAAACGTTGTGGTGCCCCTACCCCGATCCTCTGGAGAAGCTGGCCCCTCTGCCTTGTAATGACTATAAATTATCCAGATTATTCCAGTCTCACAGAGGACGCAGTCCACTGTAATTTAACATGACAGCATTAAAGAACAGGCCTTTGGGCTTTCAGCAGTGCTGCATCTGAGGCATAAGCGTAGCCTAGGGGGGTCAGGGAGGGGCAGCTGCCCACCCCCTAAATAAATAAAAATACATAGCTAACTCAGATTCTGCCCCCCTTAACAAAAGGCCTGCCCCTCCTAAGAAAAATCCTGGCTACAGCTATGACTGAGGCAGTGGGTCCCTCTAGGTTCCTTTCTCCATTAGGCCTTTTCCCAGCTCCGTCTCCCATCCACTGGAGCAATCAAACCCTGCTAGCCTCAACATCATCCATTTGTCTTTGGACCAGGCCTTTGTTGCAGCACCCAACAGCCAAGAACTGAGACATGGCACAGATAGGAAAGCAGCATATACCTATGGACAGGCAACTTGTAACTTCTGCACATTTAACTTGTGGCATTCAGATTTACAAGCTTGCTCATTTTTATTTTTATAAAATAACACTAGGGCTCTCCCAGTTTGTTTTGGGCCCCACACATCAAGCAGCCCACACGCTGGATTTGATCTTTGGTGTAGGTATAGATGTGATCATGTCTCCTTCGATGAAGGTGCCATGGTCTGATCACTACGCTCTGAAAGCCAGGATTGACTTTCCACCCCCACCCTGCTTAGTTGGCAATCTGATTTGGGCTCGCCCGCGGAGGCTGATGGACCCTGATAGATTCCGTCAAGCCTTGCGGGACCTTTCTCCCCCTGGCGACTCATTGACTGAGCTTGTTGAGGGCTGGAATACCCAGCTCCTGGCAGCCATCGATGAGATCGCACCTAAGCGCCCTCTGCGACCCCGCAGAAACCGGGCTCCCTGGTTTACCGAGGAGCTCCGGAAAATGAAGCGGGACCTCAGACGGCTAGAGCGAGTATGGCGGGGTGCCCGCGCTGGAGCCTCAAGAACATCTTATAGGGCTTTTATGAAAACCTACGAGATGGCGGTGAAGGCTGCTAAGAAGTCTTACTTCTCGGCCTCCATTGCATCCGCTAGCTCTCTCCCGGCGCAATTATTTATTATAATCAGGTCTTTAATGTCCCTTGAGGGACAGCCAAATTTAAATAACAATTTGACACACAGCTGTGAGGCATTTGCGAGCTTTTCTGCGGAGAAGGTCTTGTTGCTCCGCCATAACCTCCCTGCCAATTTGGATACAATAAAGGAACTGGAGGCCCCTCAACTGTCCTCGGGTCCAGTATTGGACCACTTCAACTGGATATCCCCAGCTGATGTGGACAGACTCCTCCGAGCTGGAAAGCCCACCACCTGTCCTCTCAACCCGTGCCCGTCTTGGCTGATTAGAGCGTGTCCAGACGAGGTGCGGGCCCTCCTGGAGGATATCATCAATTTGTCCCTTGGCACATTCCCAGGGGAATTGAAGGAGGCAGTGGTGCACCCACTCTTAAAGAAAACATCATTAGGTCCTTTAGATCTATCCAATTACCGTCCAGTTTCGAATCTTCCGTTCCTGGGTAAGGTGATTGAGAGAGCGGTTGCTGAACAGCTTGGTGGGTTTCTGGATGAAACATTGGCTCTGGATCCATTCCAGTCCGGCTTCTGCGCTGGTCATGGGACCGAGACGGCTCTGGTTGCCCTAACAGATGATATTCGTAGACAGCTGGATCGAGGTGGGTCGGGGCTGCTGATTCTTCTAGATCTGTCAGCAGCTTTCGACATGGTCGATCACGAACTTCTGGACCACTGCCTTGCCGACGTGGGGATCGCGCCACTCCTTGGTGTGTGGAGTACCTCAGGGTGCGATACTCTCCCCGATGCTTTTCAACATCTTTATGCGCCCCCTTGCCCAGCTTGTCTGGAGTTTTGGGCTGGGTTGCCATTAGTATGCTGATGACACCCAACTCTATCTGTTGATGGATGGCCATCCTGACTCGGCCCCAGACACACTGACCAGATGCTTGGAAGCTGTGGCTGGATGGTTACGTGGGAGCCGGTTGAAGCTAAATCCTTCGAAGACAGAGGTCCTGTGGCTGGGACGGGACGATATGGGATTGGGGGGGGCAACTCCCATCTCTTGCGGGGGCACAATTAGTGCCAGCACCGTCCATTAAGAGTTTGGGTGTAATCTTCGACACCTCCCTTTCCATGGAGGCGCAGATTGCAGCTACAACAAAGGCGGCATTTTTCCATCTCTGCCAAGCTAAGCAGTTGGCTCCTTACCTCTCTCGCCCTGACCTAGCCACTGTGATCCACGCGACGGTCACCTCCAGACTGGATTATTGTAACTCGCTCTATGTGGGGCTGCCCTTGAGACTGACCCAGAAACTCCAGCGGGTGCAGAATGCTGCAGCGAGACTCCTTACGGGGTCTT